TTGCTTTGCAAGGTGGCAAGCCCTGAGAAAACAAGGGGAGAATTAAAAAGTCAGCTTCTATGTCGAACAAAAAGATGCAAGAACAGAATTCTATATTAACTACAGCGAGAAGAGCTTCTTACAAACCTTTCAGGGGAATTCATGATCTCATAATAGAAGACTGAGAAATTCAATGCCAAACCCAATCGGATAGGATGTGTAGGAGGCAAATCAGCCTCTGCAGCACTTGTAGCTTTCTGCAAATAGATAAAAATAGAAATAAACTTTACTTCAAATGGGAGAAACATTATACAATGCGGCAATACTATAGTTCACTCAAAATAAATCAGGAAAAAGAGAAGGGAGTGACCATTAGTTTATTTACACACTCAAACCATGACTGTAAAAAGTTATTAAGAGTTCAATAGTACCTCATATGCTTTCATTGAATTAGCAGCAACCTCTTTCTTTTCATCACCAACCTTGAATTCAGCAAGATATCGGTAATAATCTCCTTTCCTGCATCAATGAACAAAATCCTCAAACTCTGGAAACAGACATACACATTACACAACCAAAACCTTGGCAGTGTATGATCCCTCACATCTTATAGAAGAACACAGATGTTTCACCAGCAGATGCTGAAGGGATGAGGTGCTCATCAATGACAGTCATAATATCATTGCAAATGCTTGTGAGCTCAGATTCAACTTTCTGTCTGTACTCCTTGATCCGCTTTGCATTCACTTCATTTCCTTTTGCTTCTTCCTTTTGCTCAATTGATGAGAGTATCCTCCATGATGCTCTTCGAGCACCAATCACATTCTTGTACCCAACAGAGAGCAAGTTGCGCTCTTCAACGGTCAACTCAACATCAAGCTTTGCAACATTTTTCATTGCATCCACCATTTCTGCCCAATTGTCCAGGAAAAAAAACAGGTACAAATAAATCAAAGAATAACAAGATTTAATTCTCTAATTTATACATACGGACATATAGCAAATAAACAGATTTTATCTTCAGATGAGAGATCACTCTACTGCAGAGAGCAATTCACCATAGCATAACACGGAAACACAGGTGAAATTCATCGAGGCAAAAAAACTTTCCAGAAGCTATTTTCTATTAAAAAAAAAAAAGGCTACAATTTTTGTTATTAATTATTTTAATCCAGATCCTAATAAAGAATAGTGTAGTATGCATCAGATAAAAGGAGCCTAAAAAAGAATCTATTTTCAGGCGATATCTCTTGTCAAATCGGGCAAAGGTATAACAATTGATCCATGCATAACTCCAAAATACACTCAATAACATCAATTCAAGTTTTTTCTAAGTGTTTTTCAACAATTAAAAGTAAAAAAACCGCAAACACAAAAAATCAACTAACTTTCCCTTCCTTGAACTTTATCAAAATCAAAGCAACTAAAATCGATATTGACTTTAAACAGCCGAAAAAATTAAAACACACACAGAAAGAGCAATAAAAGTGCTGTGAATTCTAACCGTCGTAGCGCTCAGCCTGTTCAGCGAGCTTGGCGACGTAGACGTAGTTTTCGCGATCTTTAGAGGAAGCCATGGCCGATCTCTGAGAGAGAGATTAGGGTTTTTATATAGGTCTCTAGAGATTCTTCTCTCTTTCTTTGCTATTGCTAGAACCAGTGTTGTTGTTCGAGATTTTGTTTACTTATATAATTAATTTCCGGTTTTAACTTCTTTATTACGATTATTTGAATTTAAGTTGATGCTTAATTGCGGATTAGGACAAGAATCAGCCAATCACAACATGGCACGTTCATTGTTCGTTACCAGTATTGAATTAAAATAATAATTTTGTTTGTTTGGATTTGTACTTTTAAGATTTGCTACCGTCGAGTATATGGTATGGTCCAATAATCATTTCTTTCCTTCGTTGGGATAGCCGTGGACCAATTCCACTTCACAAATTCATTATTAGAATTGTTGGTTGAAAGTGTTTTTGAATTCTATTTCTCAGTGTATTTTATATTATCGGTTTAAATAAATAAATGGCATTAAAAAGAGAAAAAAAGAGGCACTGTCTATTGCTTTTTAAGGGCTGTAGTTGGATAAATGATAATTACATTAAAATAGTAACAGTTGATAAGATAATTCAGGAATAAATAAAATATATGGTATAAAGGTAGGTGGGCTTTTGAAATTGAAAATAATAGAAAATTGTTTGTCTGGACAAAATGGTAGGTGAAACAAGAGATCAAATATGGTAGGTGCCGAGTCATTACATTCGCTTGAATATAATGAGACTCGTATTTAAGAATGAAAGGGACTGTATTTTACAGTGTCACACCCATCTAAAGCTACTGAATTTTTCATCTGTTGTACCCACTTTGAAAATGTGTGCATATAATTATATAAATTAAATGAAAAAACTATAGTATAATGATCCTGGACTTAATTTCTATATGAATACTTGGGACAATGTATTGTAAATGAAAAATCTAATAATAGCACCTTCTGAAACGAGCGGAGGATTTGACGTAACCTTGGTGGCCACATTTTGTTTGATTTGGGGATTGGGTAATGGGCCAGACTAGGGGTGCAATCAAATCGAATAGCTCGTGAGCTACTTGGATTCGACAAGTGACGAGCTCAGACTTGATTCATCGGAGAACAAGTATTTCACGAGTTCGAGCTCAATTTCAAGCTTGTGAAAAATATCGAGCTTTTCGAGCTCGATTCGAACTGTTTACAAGCTGTTCGAAGAACTCATTTCGTCATTCGAGTAGGAGAGCTCGTGAGATCGATCGGTAAGGTTTCAGCTCGTAAGTCAAGGCCACTGACGCAGGTGTCGCAGAAGAGGAGGTCGGAGGTAAAGCTGAGATCTGACGAGTTCGATAACGGTGGGGTAGACTCAGATGGTGGTGAGTAGTTTTCTTATGACATAGATCGACTGAAGATTATGACTGGGTGGAGATGAGGAGTTGGACTTTGGTCTCAGCAGATTCGACTGAGAAGTTAGTTGGAGAGGCGGTGGAAGAAGAAGAAGAAGAAGAAAAAGGGTTCAAAACGACGTCGTTTTGTTAAATCCTTGTAAATAGCCGAGCCGAGCCGAGCCAAGCTCGAGCCGTTTATTTTTTAAATGAGCCGAGCTCGAGCCTGCTCCTAATACATTCGAGCCAAGCTCGAGCCAGCTACTACTCGGCTCGGCTCGGCTCGTATGCACCCCTAGGCTGGACACAAAGTGTTAGTGACGTGAGTGAGCAGCGACTAGTCAATGGTAATATTATGAGGTGGCTTGAAAAAGATTTGGTTTCAGATATGATAAATTGGGCCACTTGTGAGGTGATTGGCCATTTGCTGTGTGAGTAAATAACTTCTTCCCACCCAAGGTTTGCTTCAACAAATTTTCCAAAAAAAAATGTTTTGAAATATCACTTTTTCACCCAAAGTTTATATTCCATTAAATATGCAAAATACACTTTACTTTCTCAGCCGACATTGGGTGAGTTACCATGAGCCAGGATGAGAGAGATTTTATAAAGTAGAGGCCAGTGGATCGAATAGTGGTAACCAATTGAATATTCTCTATCGAAATCAGTTGGAAATCAATTGAAAATCAGGAAACCTTACCTTTGCGGTGGCCGATAATCTGGGAAAAACTAGGTGCCAAAGTGAGAAGTGTTTTGTAGAGAAGAGATTGGAGGTTCATATGATAGTGACAAAGAGAATTTTTGTCATCGGCTTTGGGTAGTAACGGAATATTAACTTTGAGTGAGAAAATAATATTTTAAAATTTTTCAGGTGAAAAAGTGTTATTTAGGCAAACCTTGGGTGGGAAAGAGCCGTTTACTCTTGGCCTTGTTGAGCACTGACTCGGATTCTATGTGCGAGGTACATAAATCATTATATGTTTTGGATTTTATGAAGGAATCATCATTCCCTATCTTTATTTTCAGAACTTTTTTTTCCCGGCATACAAGGGCTTGCTTGAGACGAGAAAAATATTAAAGTATTGTTGTCTGATTAAAAATTGACCTAGGTTTAAGGATAATTAGTTAAATCATGTATGTACACGTGTATATATATACACAAGTTACAAACAATAGTAATTAAGACAAATTGAATGACTGGTTCAACTAATTAAGAAGAGTGCATCTTATATCGATTCACTTGTGAAGAAAAAATAATTGTCTTAACTCGTTTGCAAGGATTATAAATGTTGGCACATGTACAATATATATATATATATATATATATTATACCTAAAAAATTAAGGCTGATGCGAGCTTACATCAGCAAGCACCAATCAGAGTTCAAGAAGGTTTTGTGTCGTCTAGGAGTTATTACGTCATCCAAAGACAGAAAGAGTATGATTGTCATCAACTTGGCAGACTCAGGCTTTGTCTATGAGTGGATAGGAGTCGCCCACATGTCAAAGCCCTACGTAATTTGAAGATATTTTCTATGTAATCAGCTAATGGGAAGTGCAGTAGGAATTGTACTACACTTGCCCACTTGCAGATTTGTAATTATTACCCTGAAACCCTCTACTATAAATAGAGGGCTCCCCCTCTCATTTTCGAGATTTTAATAAAAAAAACCAGCATTATGATTGTAACTTTTATTCTCAGAACATAGATAACCTGCGAGAAAGAAACTGATTAGATATTCTCTCTAAATAATTAGTCATTTGTACCTCTGCTCACTGTTCGTTATACGCGACATCTTGTAACCTCATATATATAAAAGAACAGTGGACGTAGGATTCGCTTTAAACATCCAAACTACTTTAAAAATCATCTTCCATTTGCTTCATTGCATTTTTCATTCACGTGCAATTTCTAGGTCAACTTAGCACTTTACACATGCGAATTGTTGGTGTCAAAATCTAGCATCAACATCTTATAACTTATAGTTAACTTGAAAAAAAAAATGTTAGATCTACATCTAATTAGTATTTATATTGTGAGCTAAGGAATCAATAAAATTCCAGCTTCTGGACTCTGCAACTCATATATTATTTTGAATTCATGATTCGATCAAGATGAAAGGAGATATATAGTATTATTGTAAGCGGTTAGCAATTCTTCAATCAAGATCAATTTTGGGGGAAACTAGAGAAAAGGGTACAATATAACTTATCACTCTTTTTGAATAGTTGATGGATCACATTATAGAACAAGCATGGGGGTTCTCATCACTAAACGATGCGCCTGTTTGATGAGAGAAGACGGAAGACTGAGCAGTGTAATTGTAATAGGCGGCATTCTGGCTATCATATCCGTGTTTGTAGTAGTTGTATGAAGAAGAAGGCTGGGGGGCATAGTGGTTCACTGGACCATTACATTCGTGTTGATTAAATAAACTGTTATTATCTGGATTGTGCGGTAGCTGCCATAGCTCCGCTCTCCGGCCGGTCTTCCGGACTATTTTCAGAACCTTCTTCTGCTCAGCCCATCCGGTAACCGTCACTTTTTGCATTGCCATGTCTATGTCTATGTCTTCCACGCCTGAGGAGAAATAAAATGATTAGTTCAAAAAAAGAGTTTACGCAGCTCAATGAAGATGAATAATATGCATGTCGGTGTGGCGTATATATATTGTGTTTGATTGGCGATATATATATATATATATGTGTACCTTTTAGTTTCTGAAGAGCACTTCTGACCTTGCTCTCGCAACCGGCGCAGTCCATGTGTACTCTCATCTCTGTGACCTGAGTAGAACAGGCAATTCAATTAAACCCTATTTTATTAGCTAATCTTATAGACTGATTCAAGGATAGATGTTGCTTACCGTCGACATCTTGCTGGCTGGAAGTGCTTTACAAAATTTACTGCCTTTTGGAGGTTTACAAAGTTGTGTTGTGTGTGATCTATATATTTCACAATGAGGGATGGATGGATGTATAAATGTGAGAGACGTTTAAGGTAATGTTTGTATATATATACACTACTTCTAAAGCGTATGTCCACTCTGTCTATTTCTCCTTTCCATGGGTTAATTTCCTTCTTCTCCCTTTTTTCCTTATCGTGGTTTGGTTAGTTTATGATTTATGGCACCGACTGTTTTCTTTAAGGGGACATTAATTACTTTGGATGGTAGTTGACCCAGTTATACTCCAATAGAAGACTGCCACATGGTATACCTTGCATGGGGATCCACCGTGTAGCACTTGATATAACGTTACGTACCTTGACTTTCTAGACTTATACAATAAAACACTCAACGACCATGAATACAAAACTAAATTAATTAAAGGGAGAACGACATTGTCCCACCCAAGGTTTGGCGAACCTACACTTTTCCACCTGATATGTTTCAAAATGACATTTTTCACACCCTATATCAAGTTATGTTAGTGTTTTCTGTTAATATTTGATTAAAAAGAAAAAAATATCTTTAAATAGTTTATTTCTTAATTAGTTTATTATAAATTAAAATTTAGTTAAGTCAAAGTCTTTACTCGATTATTTGTTAGTTCAAATGTAAAGATATCTTATTTCCTTTTTTTATTTAATTAATTAAGAATATTGATTTTCTATGTTAATTAGTAAAAATGAAAAACATTATATTATGAATTTAATAGATTATTAAATAATAGTGATGGGATATTGATTACATTATAAATAAATAAATATTAAGGTCATTTAATTTTAAACAATTCTATAGAATTACTCCTAACTTTTTAGATGGGGTTAACTATTTTTTTTTTAATATTTAACTTTTTAACTAATTAAAAAATAATAAAAATTTATAAAGTTAAATATTTCAAAGTATTTTCATTTTTTCAATAAAATATTAATAGAAAACATAACATAACATAATGAAGGGTGAAAAAGTGTCATTTTGAAACTTGAAGGGTAATCTTGGGTGGAAAAATGCCGTTCTCCCTTAGTCAAAGCTGAATTAGTGCACATGGTAGCAACCCTCTATCATCGGATCATGCCTAATCTTTCCCGGACAGTTTGGGAAAAAAGAACAATATTTAGTACAAACAGAAGCAATTATTAGAGATTACTTATAAGCAAATAGAATATGTGACTTTTTCTTTAATCCAACAAGAAGAGCAGTTAGTAGTATAAACGTAATCTTTATAAGCAAATAGAGATTACTTATGGTTCAGATCATGGCTTCAAGTTGACGGCTATGCCTAAATAAGTAAAAGTACCAAATTAATAACACTGATACTGTGGTACATGTGCTCACATGGCTTGTTGTCATCTCATCTTTACAATCTCCAACTCCAAGCCGCCGACCTCCTAAATTATTAAAAAGATGAAGCAGAGCACCTCTTCATCATAATTTAATTTTAAATGACGTAATAGCATGATGTTAATACAGAAATCTGTACCAACTAACAAGATCCGATCGACCTTGTCGAAATCGAAACGAATGTGTGCGTGATTATGGGTAATCAGCTATGAGTAAAAAAAAAAAAAATGCTAGAAAATAAGTGGCAAGAAGGACTTTTAAAGTGGTTCGGCGAAGTTTAACAGCCTACGTCCACTGTGTTTTGCTTATTTGCTATGAGAGCTTACAGTAGAACTGCTAAACTAGAATTTGGTATCCCCCTTATCATTGTTTTAGGGGATATATATACAAGATTTACATAAAGGAAAAAGAGAAAATAAAGGGATTACAATTGATTGGGCTTGCAACTCCGATATTCTCATGATTAGGCACTAAGATTAAGCAAAGATTGCTGTTAATCTGATCGTTCTCGTAATATTTGGGATCTCAAGTTATCTGAGAATTGATTGAATGATCATTTGGGTTCTCCGCGACTAGCTTGTGCTGGGTCGAGCTATGGCTCGATGAGCCTATGCTGGGTCGATCAATCATAGTCACCGAGGTCATTCTAGGTCGAGCTATATCCTCGCGTCGACCCGAGCTTGGTGGAAAAACCACACACAACATCTACCCCCTAGTGTTCGATGCTCGTTCCTGGCTTCGGAGACTATCGCTCGATCTGACACCAAGCTCGGCTTTAGTAGTGAGTCTCTGAGATGATGCTCGATCGGGCTTCCACGATCAATCTTACATCCAGTCGACGTTCCTCACACTTGGACATTATTACCTGCGCCACCTGTTAAAACTCAGAATACAAAAAGGTCAGGGTATACATGTAATTTTCACGTGGTCGTGTCGCATTAAATGTGGCAACCTTTGTCAGTTAAGTTTCATTGCGCGTGGTCGATGACAGCTGTTCACGAGCAAAGTTGAACGTCGTGCCACGACGGTTATCATTTTCGACGGTTCGTCTCACCTTGTGGATGGTCGACACGTGACCATGTCCAAGGGCTGAGATCGTTCGACGAATGAAGGGCTAGGATTGATTGTGATTCAATAGTCGAGATTGAACTTCGCCCTTTCGTCTTCCATGCAAAAACCACTATAAAAGGTGGCAAATATTCAGAACAACTATTCTGAGAATTCTTCCACCCTCTTGCTTTTCTCTTGTCGTTGCTCTCTTGTCATCGCGGTAGACTTTTTTGCAAGTTTTCAATGTACCTCTTTAATCTGGTAAGATTTCTTTCCCTTATTTACTTACTTTTTTGACTTTTGTGCCAAAGGGTGGCCACTATAGTAGCCACATTGGTTGTTTTGAGATTTTAGTAGGGTTTTTGGGGTACGTTTCCGATGGTCTCGGGTGCTAAAAAGAGTTTAACCGTGGTGGCCACCGGTGTCCTAGGTAGGTCGCGTGACTTTTTTGTGTTGCGCGAGCTACGTTGGGTGCCTGAGATGGGAGCGAATGTGGAATGATCGCCGTGTTGTTCGAGCTATAACACATGTTCGCTTCTTTTTTTAGGTACCCAAAGTCGAGCTTTGACCATGTCTTCGTCTAGTAGTTGCACAATGGACCAGATGTTCGACTCACCAGTTGGATCGGCAATATTGGGGGACGTGTCCCCCGAGATATCTGAAGAGTTCGTCGCCAGAAGCTCGGACCCCAATGCTGCTTACTTGTCCGATCGTGCTTCTATTCAACTGACTCAATCTCTGCCATCTCCAGTTCACAAGCTGCGGAAAGAGCCCCAATCCTCGATCACCCTCGGGGATCTTGAGCGCATTAGGGTGGCCTATGCGCCGCAGCTCAACCTGATGGCCCGGGGGAACATTCTTGGAAGAACCCTCCAGTCAGATGGGTGGCTACTTTAGAGACTCTCCTCAGGTGCGGGGTATCCATCCCCCCGCACCCCTTCATCAAAAAATTGTTGAAGAGGTTCGGCATCGCCCATCTTCAACTGACGACCAACTTCTACTTGATCATTACCGGTGTATACATCACGTACATGATCATTGAGCTAGGCGAGTCGTCCGTCAAGGAGTTTGTGTACTTGTACAAGCTTAAAAAGGGGCAAGGCCAAATGTATTAGCTTTCCAAGGCGAGGAAGGTAAGTTTCAATGGTCTGATTGACATCTCGAAGAAGGTCCCACACTAGGACTCCCAATTCTTCTTCTACGAAGCCGAGACGAGCGACGTTTTTGCTTCGAAAGTGAGTAAGGCCTTGGTCGCTCATGTATAGGAGGATGAATTTCAAACTTAGTTTCATTATTTAACCGACTTTCTTTTCATTGCAGTTAACGTTGAGTAGAACTATCACCCTACAGTGAGCTTGCAAAGGCTACAGCGTTTCAACGAGCTTCCTAACAGCTTGCGCAACATCCACAAGCTTCTTACGCTTCCATACCTAAAGGTTTACAGCTTTTGCAGGGACGAGGCCAGATTTTTAGTGCTCTTGGAGAAAGGCAAGTTGTTGCTTGCTCACATTCGATTTCTCATGCAAATTGATCGCTAATGCGTTTTCCCTTTTTTTTCTTGTAGACATATGGGCTGAAAACCCAAGGGCCTTAAAAAGAAAACGACAGCAACAGCGCCTGCCCAGAAAGCACCGATTGCCTCAGTGACAAAACAACCCACGGATGTTACTGGCACGAAGCGTGCTGGGAGCAAGCTGGTGGAGGCCCCCTGCGTAAAGAAGTCCGCGACCGCTTCCAAGGCGGTTGGCAAGAAAAGTGTCACCGAGCCCCCTAATAGGCAAGCGTAGAAGACGCCCGAGCTAACTGGAGGCTTGATAAAAGGTAAAGCACCCAAGTAGCACGATGGCTCGGGGAAGAAAAAGGTGAGCGAGCCTCATGGGGGCTCGGGGAAAGAGGTCGCCACGCATGCTGGCGGCCTTCAGAAGAGCGCATCTAAAAGCACGACCAAGAAGAAGCTCGCTTCTATAGGTGCGACAGCCGCTCTAGGGGGAAGTAAACCTGGCCCGTCCAAGCCAAAGGATGGGGGGACAGACGCCAAGAACGAGGCCACGATCGATGCTTTGATCGACCAACTCCTCGACCATATCGGTATCGGGGCTGCGGTGGCCAAAGATTGTGTCACCCTGCGGACGTTCGAGGCTGTCAGGGACTCGGCTTCCTCCTAGATACTGACTTTAACCTATAGCTACGCAGCTAAGATACTGATAGTTCCCTTTTTTCTGAATTCTATTATTCTTTCGTGCTCGTTTCTCACCTTTTCGTTTTCAGCTACCATGGCGAGCTGACTCCTGTATGAAGAATGCGGCCAAACCTTGGAAGGAACTCACAAGAGATGGTTGCTCGCGAAGACGATAAAAGAGGACACCTTGGCCAGGGCCGAGGTAGTGGAGAAAGAGAAGGAGGCAAGGCAAGGCAAGCCGAGCTTGAACGCCTCAGGGAGGAAATTGTGGGTTTTGGTGTAAAACCCCATTTCTTAATTTAGTTATTTAACTCTTTCTATTTGATTTTATGGTATTGTTGTCAGAAAGGGTATTTCGTCATTTTTTAAAACTTGCGTTAAGGGGTGAAAACAAAAGAAATAGATTCTGATGGGTTTGCATGTATCAAGGGGGAAAAATCAGGA